ATTCTCTATCAATCTAGATCTCTTTATAAGCTTAGAGAAATTAGAAATATGAAATGGCATTAATAGTAGTCGTCTCATATTATCTCAAAATCCCCTCAAATATCTATAGTACTTCTTCATGAGAGTTCTAATTAGAAGCAAAACATCTCTAGCCAAAGTAGTGAAATATATCTCGTATTATATAACTGTCATGCTCCCCTAAAGCAGTCTTAGAAAAGTCTCTTTCATCTGCTATCATGTAGAAGGTGGTACAAATCATGCTCAAAAAATATTTGAGAACTCTCCTAACTAATTAACAAAATTCAATTTCCCTTAAAATTTCTACTCTTACTGGCTCATCCACCAATACTCCGCCTCTCCATCCAATAGAAAATAGTCAACATAACTTTCCTCTCATGAAGACATTGCATATCGTCAAATATCTTCTTCGGCCTTAACAACAAGTGTTCTGCTGCTCTAGGCTCAATAGTGCCATCAAATCTTAAAGGCTTTAACTTTAAAAATATATATAGATGTCTGTCTATATCATCTGATCTAACAACATGAACTCGACTTTATGCCTCACCCATCATCTTGGTTATCAAACTAGAAACTATGAAATTATGTCAGAACCATACTATATATAATTGATACCTGACTATCTCTCTGTCCATCTGCATATCTGGATCAAGCGGATCTATATCACACATAAGATACAATTAGATACATATGTATATGAAAATAAACAAGGATGAACACCCATACAGACTCGAAACTATCCACTTGACTTATATATCAATTTTTATAGCTTTATTTTTTATACTACAAAAGCTTATTACAATTCAACTTGACGAGACCCACTGATGGGATAAGTCCTATCATGTTAAGCTGTAACAGGCTAATCCAAATATCTAATTTTGAAAATGTTTTAGAATTATTCTTGCAATTTAAACTTTAAATAATAAGCTATAAAACTAATAAAACATTCAGATACTAAAAATAAACTTATCCATTAGATTTATTATATTTTATTAAAATATATATACACTATAACATATGGATACAAATAGAAGCTATATAACTAAATGATAAACTAGTCAAAAGAAATACCTATCAATTCTGATTAGATCCAGAACTGCTAATCAATTATCTCTATGCCTTTCTCATATCCTAAAAATCAGAAATAAAATCATACTAAGCTACAACAACTTAGCAAACGACAAACATCGATTTTAAATTTTTAAATATTTATTTTATTAAATATTTTCAAAATATTTAAATGCATTTGAAAGAAGTATAATAAATCACTAAACTAAGCATAATAATAAAAAATATACCAGTTATTCATATTAAGATAATAATACTAAATAGATAATTAAAATTGAAATTCATATAACATAATGGTTCCTATCAGATTTCCCCAAACTTAAATGGAATCTTAAAAGATTTTAGACCCTTATGGCTACCAATAGAATTTTGTCCTATTTCAAAAAAAATCTTAAAAGATTGTGGCTCATTATAAATCCCAACATACAACTTTTTTAGAGTTTTTTTTTTATTTATATTCTCGATCAAAGTCAAAATCTCAAAGAATTATGACCACTTATATCTCCCAATATACACAACTATTCAATATTATATGATTTAATCATATAAATGTATATTTCATCAGATTGCAACAATTAAAACATAATTGAACATATTTCATAATTGCATAATTTTTTATAACAGTAGATAACAAAAAATCATACTAAGCAAAAATAAATATTTATAAAGAACCAAATTATAAGAGATCGTGCAGAACACTATTTTAAGACTCCAAATGTACTGCAACATTATTTTTTATCATCTAGATAATTTTTTTTTCAATAAAAATCCCACAAATTCTAAACCCTTGTTGTAAAATTAAAAAAAAAAAAACATTCAAAATATTTATAATCTTACACTCCATAAAATATAAAAAATTACGAGATGAAAGTTTTACCAGTAACAAAGTTATCCCCATTTTTTCGTAACATAAATAAAATTTTAATAAAAAAATTAATAAAAATTTCATATTTTTAAAATCTGAGATAGGTATAATATAACCTACCTCGAGATGAACAAAATTTTCAACTGTGGCTATCGACAAAAATGGCTCTAAGACCCCCAAAATATGATATTTTTTCCTTTCTCTCTCCTCTTATTTTTTTCTTGTTTTTCCCTTACGTGCTCTCTATTAGCCAAAATGGGTTTAGGGAATAGGGGTCTCAAAATGGGTCAACGGGTTGAGTTCGGGTCATGTCAAATTGACCCAGGTCTAAACAAGTTGGGCCTAACCCGACCCAATTTTGCAAACGGATATATAATTCCAACATGGACCCGACCCGAGAGGGTCACCGAGTTGACTCGACACACGAAGGCTTAATCCTCAGTCAGGACTCTGCGTACACCTTTTTTGACGCATATCGTCTTTGCTCGCGACTGCCACGGCACAAGTCAATCTATCCTCCATCGCGCAACCACCGCCATCTAGTACCATCGCGACCTTGGATGATGACATATGCGAACAATTATAGATCTCACCATACAACAACATAAACCCAAAAAATAAACATATCAAATTAAATCGAACGATCCATATCCACCATACTCAAGGGAAGCTTACGCGGTGATGGCATATTGCGAGGGGATTTATAGAGTGGATGTTGGAGTCGCAGGCTCAGCAAAGGCCCGCCGTGTTAATTAGCCTTGAAGGTGACGGCTGCCTTGCGGGGTTGCTACGAGTGAGCGCACTCAGCTCCAGGAGGCGGGATCACAGATTCATGGGTGCAGGTCTGCAGGATGCGAGGCACCAAATGCAGATACGGACACCTGACGCCGACATAAAACATGAAACTAGATGCATGACGGTTATGGTCGTACGAGAAGATGGACCGGAACCGGACTCAGGACTAGCTCACTAGCACTGATAAGTGGCTCACAGGTCAAACTTGGGTTGATTTTGGGTTGTTGGGTTAACCCGAACTGACCCGATTTTTTGAAGCGGGTCAAAATCTCGAACCTGAGCCCGACTCGTATGGCAAACGGGTTAACTCGAACAAGGAATTTTTTGGGTCATGTCAAGTTTTGACACCCTTATTAGGGAGCTTAGGAAATAATGTTTTAATGAGTTGTGTCATTAGGTTTTCATATTTAGAATAAAATATATTAAGGATAAAAATGCAATTATTTTAATTGTTCAAATTTTAGAATAAAATTTATATAAATCCTTTTGCATTTTCAAATCCAGGAATTTCAAAACTTTGGATTTGAACTTCTCTAATCCAAACCTTGATCATATAGGGCCCCGCTGAGCATTTTAAGACTCATAATCATTAATCAAATTGACATTAACAAGCATAAATGAATATTTATTTAAATTTCTGACGACCAATATTACATTATTTTCTTATAAGATGGTTTGTTTATATGATTTTCCAAAAACTACTATCCCATAGCCAGAAAACATTTTCATTAATAGTTTTTTTTGCGGCATCTTTTTGCACTCCGTGGCATGTACAGTCTAATAAATCAAAATTATGGTCAACTTTTTTGTTCTGAGCAAAATTATATTACAAAGCTAGCTTTCATTCCGTAATTTTGACCCCATATTAGACTCTTTATCGTCATATAACCCTTCGAGTTCATCTTATATTCAAGGAGCTTAACCAATAGCAGCAGTAGATGAAGTCTTGGTTAGTCGGGATCACCTGAGACACCTCTTTTGACAGAATATGCAACAAGTTAAATACAAACTAAAGATAATGGCTAATAGAAATAGACTTTCCATGCGGTTTGATGTCAATGATTGGGATATTAAACTTCGTATCGTCAAATTTTAGTGATCAATAGAGTACAAAATTTTAGTCATCAAATTTAAAAGTTTTTTTTTTATTTTAAATTCTAAGATCAGATGGAGGCGGTGAATATATAAATAACTCATTCCAAAACTATCTTACACGTTTTCGCATTGTTCATCAGGTTACATGCCCTTATACCTCTCAGCAAAATGGTGTGATTGAGCGCAAACATAGGCATTTTCTCAAAGTAGTTTGAGCTTTACTTTTTTCATGACCACCTTCCTCGCCAATTTTGGCCTGAAGCATTGTTAACAACTGCTTATACCATCAACCGATTTCCCTCCAAACAGCTTCAAAACCGGTCACTATATAAACTATTCTTTTTTACTACACTAGACTACTCCAATCTCAAAGTCTTTGATTGTTTATGTTACCCGTGACTTCCTACACACCTCCACTAGAAACTTCAACCACGTTCCCAAACTTGTGTGTTTCTTGGCTATGTTGAACCTACAAAAGGCTATAAGTGTTTTAATTCTGCTACTGGCTGTATACATTTCTCTCGCTATGTCAAATGTTTTTAGTCTATCTTCCCATACCAACATCCTTCCACATAACCAATTCTCCATCCATTCATCACTTCGCTTGTTCCAACGACTAGGATTAAGTTCTGTACATAAGAGGTGAAAAGGCAAGTCGACTAATTAGAGATTTTGCTTTGCTTATCATATAGGACGTGACCGTTATCACAAAATATTGGTCAAAAGTTTGTTTAAGTCCGTTCCGCATTGTTCCAATTTTCATAAAGTCGAATTCATCCCAATTTTCATATTCTCTCCTAAAGCCATTTAAAGGTGATTAGCCAACACTTTGTGTTTCGTTGCCAAATCTAACCTATAGGCTACAACAATCAACCCACTAGTATTTAGGAATCCATCATAGCCACTCATTCTATTCATTGATGAGATATACTGAAGTTTCGTTTGGGATAACTTTTTTGTTATTTTTCAAAGCAATTTTTTAGTATCAAATTTCTGATTCAAAAAATTTTCATAATATAATTAGATTATTGAAGTGCACTAATATAATTGGATTGGACGACTACGGAGGAATATTATGAAGATAATTCTGATATGGAAAGACTTTTTAAATTACTTTCTTTATATATATATATATATATATGTTAAGGAAAGACTTTTTCTAAAAACCTTTTATTTCGTTCCCTAAATGTTAAGAGCTAATCATCAATGATCAAAATGAGCTCCCAGACCTAATTAGATAAAATAGGCGCTTGGAGTAAGAGGACGACGCGGATCGGTATTTACCGTAGGCGCAAAGCCGTCGCCTGCGGCCATGCTCGTCAGGTTCTCTCTTTCCACTCTCCCACCTTGTTGTAGATAGAAGTAATGATATCCTTAGAACTGAGAGACTTTAGGTGCAGCATCTTAGGGTTTTCTTTTCAATTTGATTCCCTGGCATCGTAAGAACTGAGCGACTTTAGGTGAAGCATCTTAGGGTTTTATTTTCAATTTGATTCCCTGGCTATGATTTTCCGATTATGCATTTATTTCCTAACTAGCATTTCTTAAACTATTTCCGATTCAAGAATGTAAAAAAAAATAAAAAAAAATCATCTAGGCATTTTTAACGCGACCTTAATTAGTTTTTATTTCTTAGATTGTCCTTTTTGGAAGTCATGATACGAAAATTGAGTTTTCTTATGAAATGTGTTTATACATGTAGTTGCAATGTTTAAGTATAGGATTGATTTTTCATGGTGTTAAATGCACGAATGTGTCAATTTCATTGACGAAGGCTTAGCAGTTTATGGACACCTCTTTTTTACTTTTTAATAATTTGAGTTGTCTTTGGATCTTCTAACAAGAAATCCCTTATCTGGTCGAGCGTAATTTTACACATAAAGAATGAATTTTAAAGGTTGCCCAAAAGGATTGAACCAGTACCCAATGTGACATAGTTTGATTAAATCTGTGGCCATGTAAGTTTAAAATGGCATGATTAACCCCAGAGAAACTCTGAAACATCATATTTGAATCTGCAGATGCTTTGATCACTCCAATTGGGGCTTTTACACTCTAAAACTAGCCTAATTAAGCTCAACCGGTTTAGCCCTATCTATGTAGTCACCTTCGTTGCATGAAAGCAGCACCTGTGTGGGAAATGGATTTTAGGATGTGGCTGTTGATTTTAGGATGTGGCAGTGGATGGCATTACCCTTCCTTCTGCTAGAGGGCACTCCAATGTTCCACCTCGAATCCAACCTCTGAAGAGCTGCACCTCTACGAACTCCACTAGCAAGTTACACATCAAAAGCCTTCTCACCAGTGGCTTGTATTCATATAACGGTGATTCACTCTAAATGCTAGGTCTTCTTGAATTATTGCACCTTGTATGCTTCATTTTTTTCATTAACATCTCATTTCAATTGGAAAGTTAATAGGGTGATCTACTACACACATTAAATTAGTTATTTGTTATGGAGCAACTCGTCGGGGTTAAATTTAACTATTGATCTTTGATATAATTTACTATGGATACAAAATTTGATAAGTTTTTAGTTGGCATAACAATTCCCTAGACATTTGAGCTCTATATTTGTTTACTTATAAATAAGTTTAAAATAAACTCCATTGAGGATATAATTTATTTGAGTGGAGTAGTGTTGATGTCCAATTTTATAAAAAAGGTGTGACCTGGTGGGGATAAACATGGCTTGATTAATGGATTGGTAAATCAAATAATTGAGATTTGATATATTTTGGCTAGCCAATGATGCAGCATTTAGATGGGGCATTTAGCTTGTTTTTTCTTAATCATTCATGATCAAATTAAGTTGGCATGGATTCTTTGTGAATTGGCCAAGAGGATTGATTTTGTAGCCATGCTTGATTAAATAAGCATAGATAGGCTCCATTAGAGATAAAACTTGAAGTACGTCATTCTAGGAGCATTTTTTCATATCCAATTGTCATTTATCTTCATTTTGAAGGAATTTAAGGGCAGCATACATATATATTCATATATTTTGTTTTTATAGATGGGATATTTATATTTTAATGGGGGCATTAGCTGTGTTAACCTCATTGTAGGTGAATTGAGGGTACTTATTTAGCCTTGCCCTAAAGAAATGATCGAGGAGCATTTAATTTACATACATTTGATATTTTGGACATTTGATATAGTGGAGCATTTTGAGTTTTGGAGTTATAGTTTATCCTCATTTCATAGGGGTTGTTAGATTAACTTGATCTCAGAGGATTTTTTTGTTTTGTTTTGTTTTGTTTTGTTTGTTGTCTTTGATTAGGATGGGGGGATCCTTTGAGAGCTTGCATGGTGGTAAAGTCCCTTAGGACTTATTTGCAAGAAGGTTGTGATTTCAATCGGAATGTTAATAGGGAAATCTACTTCACATACATTAAATTGGTTATTAGCTGATGGAGCAACTCATTGTGATTAAATTTAACTATTGATCTTTGAGAGACTTTACTACGGATACAAATTTTGAGAGTTCGTTAGTTGGCATAACAACTCTTTATGCAATTGAGCTTTATATTTGTTCATTTATAAATAAGTTTAAAATAAACTCCATTGAGGATATGATCTATTTGAGTGGAGTAGTGTTGAAGTTCAATTGTATACCAAAAAATGTGACTTGTTGGGGATAAACATGACTTGATTAATGAATTTGTAGATCAAATTATCGAGATTTGACGTAATTTGACTGGTCAATGATGCAACATTTAGAAGGGGCATTTAGCTTGCTTTTCTTAATCATTCATGTTCAAATTGTGTTGGCATGGATTATATGTGAATTGGCCAGGAGTATTGATTTTAGAGCTGCTTGATTAAATAAGCATGGGGCCCCTTAAAAGCTTGCATGGCCGTAAAATCCCTTGGGAGTTATTTTCAAGAAGGTTGTGATTTCAAACTGAAAGTTAATAGGGCGATCAACTACACATACATTAAATTGGTTATTAACTGATGGAGCAACTCATTGTGATTAAATTTAACTATTTATCTTTGAGAGGCTTTACTATGGATACAAATTTTTAGAGTTTGTTAGTTGGCATAACAACTCCCTAGACATTTGAGCTTTATATTTGTTCATTTAAAAATAAGTTTAAAATAAACTCCATTCAACTACACATACATTAAATTGGTTATACCAAAAATGTGACTTGTTGGGGATAAACATGACTTGATTAATGGATTTGTAGATCAAATTATCGAGATTTGACGTAAGTTGACTAGCCAATGATGCACCATTTAGAAAGGGGCATTTAGCCTGCTTTTCTTAATCATTCATGATCAAATTGAGTTGGCATGGATTCTCTGTGAATTGGCTAGGTGGATTGATTTTAGAGTTGCTTGATTAAATAAGCATGGGGGCATTTAAAGGCTTGCATGGTCATGACTCGTGAAGTCCCTTGAGATTTATTTGCAAGTAGGTTGTAATTTCAATTAGAAAGTTACGGCGATCTACTACACATACATTAAATTGGTTATTAGTTGATGGAGTAACTCATTGTGATTAAAGTTAACTATTGATCTTTGATAGATTTTACTATGGATGCAAAATTTGAGAGCTTGTTGGTTGGCATAACAACTCCCTAGACATTTGAACTTTATATTTGTTTACTTATAAATAAGTTCAAAATAAACTTCATTGAGGATATGAGAGTCCAATTCTATACCAAAAATGTGACTTGTTGGGGATAAACTTGACTTGATTAATGGATTGGTTATTATTGAGATTTGACATAATTTGATTAGCCAATGATGCAACATTTAGAAGGGGAATTTAGCATGTTTTTCTTAATCATTCATGATCAATTGAGTTGGCATGGATTCTCTGTGAATTGGCCAAGAGGATTGATTTATTAGCTGCTTGATTAAATAAGCATGGGGTCCTTTAAGAGCTTGCATGGTGTTAACACCCCTTGGGATTTATTTAGGTTGTCATGTCAATTGGAAAGTTAATAGGGCAATCTACTACACAAACATTAAAGTGGCTATCATTGGGATTAAATTTAACTATTGATCTTTGATAAATTTTACTATGAATACAAAATTTGAGAGTTTGTTCATTTGCATAACAACTCCCTAAACTCTATTGAGTATATGATTTATTTGAGTGGAGTAGTGTTGAAGTCCAATTGTATACAAAAAATGTGACTTGTTGGGGATAAACATGACTTGATTAGTGGATTGGTAGATCAAATTATGAAGATTTGACATAATTTGACTAGCCAAAGTTGCAACATTTAGAAGGGCATTTAGCTTGCTTTTCTTAATCATTCATGGTCAAATTGAGTTGGCATGGATTCTCTGTGAATTGGCCTTAGGATTTATTTGCAGTTAGGTTGTCAGTTCAATTGGAAAGTAAACAGGGCGATCTACTACACGTACATTAAATTTGTTATTAGTTTTGGAGCAACTCATTGGGGTTAAATGTAACTATTGATCTTCGACAGATTTTACTATGGATACAACATTTGAGAGTTTGTTAGTTGGCATAACAATTTCTGGTACATTTGAGCTTTATATTTGTTAACTTATAAATAAGTTTAAAATAAATTTCATTGAGGATATGATTTATTTGAGTGGAGTAGTGTTGATGTCCAATTATATTTAAAAAATGTGACTTGTTGGGGATAAATATGACTTGATTAATGGATTGGTAAATCAAATAATTGAGATTTTATATAGTTTGACTAGCCAATGATGCAACATTTAGAAGGGGCATTTAGCCTATTTTTCTTAATCATTCAAGATCAAATTTAGTTGGCATGGAGTCTTTGTGAATTGGCGAGGAGGGATTGATTTTGTAGCCCTGCTTGATTAAATAAGCATGGATATGCTCCATTAGAGATAGCATGGTTTAAAATTGCACAATAAGAGGTGCACCTCAGTGCAATTTTAAACTTTTAAGCCTCAAAGCCTATGCAATGAGAACTGATATTGAGGTGTACACCTCAAGTTCACTGAGGCGCGCCTCGCCTCATGCTTTAGAGGCGTCCACCTCTTAAAATAAAATAAAAAAATGCTCGGTATCACTCAGTACAACAATGCTTGGTACCACTCGGTATAACAATGTTGGTATCATTAGGTACATGCTCAGTACTGCTAGGTACATGCTCGGTACCACTCGATAAATGCTCGGTACCGCTCGGTATCTTTCCATACAAACGACTTACGAACTTTAAAAATAAGCAGAACTTCAAAATTACTCTTACAAAAAGAATTTGTTCCGGGGGCGCGCTATGGGATAGCGCCCCCTTGGACCCCCGGCTGCCCGACATATTGTTGTATTCATCATCTTTAGTAATAGTTGTTACTGTTAGTCTGCTTCTTTATGAGTGCATGCTTTGTATAAGTTTTCTTCATTAGTGCATGCTTTGATTGGGAGACATTGGACTCTATAGGAGAGGAGGAAGGGGAGAGAGTGGTTCATCATAATGATGATTCAAATAAAGACCCCATAGTGATGACAGTGCTGATGACTTATGAGTTCTTATGTGATATGTCATTGCTATTTATTTTTGGAATTATATGTTAATGAAAAGAATACTGTGATTTGAGAAAGATAGAATTTGAGTTGAACTATATTTCATATTACCTTATTATTGGGATATTTTGATTTCACTTCATATCTTGTGCCTTTCTTATGTTTTATATTTTTTACTCATTAGTATATAAAAATTTATCATTTTATGTTTATGCAATCTTTTGATTTTGAGGCTTACGCCTCAAAACGCCTTGAGGCGCATCGCCTCACGAACGAAAAACGCCTCAATACCCAATTACGCAATTTTAAACATTGATAGATAGAACTTGAAGTACGTCAATCTAGGAGCAATTTTTTGCATGCAACTCTCATTTATCTTCATTTTGTAGGAATTGACAGGGAGCATACATATTTATTTATATATTTTATTTTTATAATGGAATATTAATATATTAATGGGGGCATTAGCTGTGTCAACCTCATTGTAGGGGAATTGAGGGATTTAATTGAGGGTGCTAATTTAGCCTTGTCCTAGAGAAATCACCGATGAACATTTGATTTCCGTACATTTGACATTGTGGACATTTGATATAGTGGAACATTTTGAGTTTTGGAGTTATAGTTTATTCTCATTTCATAAGGGTTGTTAATTTAACTTGATCTCATATGGTGGAGCATTTTGAGTTTTGGAGTTATGGTTTATCCTCATTTCATAGGGGTTGTTGTTTAACTTGATCTTGGATATTTTTTTATTTTGTCTATGGATAGTATGCTTGTAGTTTATCCTCATTTTGGAGAGGTGTTAGTTCAATTCTATTTTGAGAGATATTTTTACCTCGTACCAGAGAGTTTGGGGCAAAAAATTTAGTGGACATTGCTACAACCTTTATATAGTCAACTTCCTCAATCTCATTGTAGGAGAGACGAGGGATTAGTTTGGTGCTATTTGAGTCTAATTTTAGAGGGATAATTTAGCCTCATCTCGGATGAACCAAGGACTTGACGTATTTGGTAGAGGAACAAAAAATATGTACAATTTTCATGTAATTTGGTCACTCAAGAAGATTAAATTGCTAAATTAGGGGTATTGACATTTTTGTAATTTTAGAAAATTTTAGATTTTAGCATTGTGAAAATATTGCTTGGAATTTTTACTAGAGTTAGATATTGGTGAGTGAATGCCACTAAACAATTTTCATAATTTTTTTAGTAAAAATTGCAGTTTTTAAGAATCCTGGGAAGTTGAAAAATGACTTTAAAAGATTAATTTGTTGTGATGAATCGAAATGAAAGCTTGGCATGAAAACTTAATACTAGGTGGAGTTTGATGAGATGAAGCTCTTATAAAAATTTCAAAATGTTTATTGGAATTTTCTATTTTTGAAAATCCAATATCAATATGGTAAATTTTAAATTTTGAGAAAATTAAAAAAAAAATTAAGTGCAAATTTTCATTGTTGGTAAAGCTCATGGAGAGTTGATTATTCATCAAGTTTTTGGTGAATTTTGAGTTGGATGAAGTCATGCACACTAATGTGGGACTTTTTGGCTTGCTTGTAGGTTGGGAAGCTTTTGGAGTCTTGGAGAGTCACATGAGGCATTTTGGTTGAGCTTTAGGTGTAGGATTTGCCATTTTTGTAAGAGGATCACATAGGTTTCTTTCCATAATTGATTGAACACGTGAAATAACATAAGTGATTGAAATTCAAAACCTTTGAGGCTTGTGATGCTAAAAAACTTGAGCTGGTTTATGGCTTGATTGAAGGTGACTGGCCCATTTGTCTTATGTTATGGTGACTTGGTTTTATATGGGCATGATAGGAGAGTTGCTTGTGAGCTTAACTTAGACACGTCATTGTTTTAAGGTCTCCCATACTCAAATCTTTTTGTATTATGTAGAGTTTGGAGAGCACATTATTGCAAGTCCTGTATATTTGTAGTTCATTATCGACATTTCTAAGCCACTTGTTCACATATTCCTTAAAAGTGTCATGGGAGACGATCGTGCTCATTTGGAAAGTTCATTTATCACTCAGAAGTAACATTTTTCATTAATTGTTTCATTTTATGTATTTTCCCATCTTTTAGAGTTTATGAATGATTTTTTCTCATTTTCATCTTAAAGTGACTGATAATGTTCTAATGGCATTTTAATTACATTTGCATTAGAGATGTCCTCATTCCCTTGAAATTTTAGCATGGGCTTGTCAGAGCCTTTGGGTTAGGGGGCGATAGAGAAGTCATGTTGGCCAATGCCCAACATAAAAAAAAAAACATTATGGATGGTGCATTAGCACTAAGGCATTTTTGAGAGATTTATACCCGCCACATAAATAATTATGCTTTAAAGATATATCATCCTTTCTAATGAGCATTCGCTTGTTAAGAATAACAAACAAATGTTAAGTATGATGCGTCGCTACGAACATGAGACAAGACATGTTAATTATTAGAAATATAGGACAATATGACTTGGGCAATATTTAATAATTTTTAAATAGTGCATAAAAATTAAATAAGCATAATATTAAGAATAACAAACAAATGTTAAGTCAACATCATAATTAGATGTATTATGATATACAAAGGATAAAACTCGCACAAACTTTCGATCTTTCACAAACTCTTCACAAAAAATAATGTAGAACAGGATAAGTTAGACAAAATAGCATAAGATATTCTTACCTATGTTGGTCGAAATTTAACCCTTACCTATAATGGTTTACCAAGTTGAAAAATAATTAAGAAATTAACTCGGCATAGTAAGAAAGAAAATTTGAAAATTATAAGTTTAATTTGAAAAAGTACTAAATGCAATTAATGGAATCCCTAGGGATCAACCATCCATCAACCTAACACCAACAGCCTTCCTTCCCGTATAAAAGTGCAGGTTGTCAAAAAGTGTTTTCTACGGCAATTGCCATCCAAGGAGAAAATGCTAATAGTACATGTCCAAGCCAATATGAATTCCATGCGGTTATCAAAACTGATAACCTTACGTTCCAATTACATGCTAGACTTTTATCAAGGGAAAATTCTAAGTGTGATACAAAGATACATGCTAGACTTTTATCAAGGGAAAATTCTAAGTGTGTTACAAAGATACGTGCTAGTTTTAAGAACTACACTTACATGTAGATAAATATGTTTTAGTGGCCATGGTGAATTTTAGGATCTTTGACATTGAGATTCACCGTGTAAAGGCTTCAAATAGAGATGAAAATGAAGAAACATAGATATAGAGTAGAGGGAGAGTTGAATTTAAAGCACTCACTCACCTTCACTTTTTATTCACTAGGGTTTCTTATATGTGGTCTGTGTGCCTTTTTGTCGGTTAGGGGTTGGCATTGATTGAGGGGCTGAGGAAAGCCTTTGTGTTTGGCACACTATGTCCCTTGGTTGCTATAATAGAGTGGGGCCCTCCATACGGGTTTTCTCTCTTTTTTGAGAGAAAGAGAATGGAAAGAGAGGGATAGGCTAGGTTTTTATGGAAATGGTGTGAGAATATTGTGGTGGTGAGGAGTGTGGTGCTAGAGAGAGAAAATCTCTTTCTCTCCCTCCAATTTTATAGAGAGGAGAATGTAATTTTTTTCACTCTAGGTACAGAGAAAAAAGGGAATGAGGGTGAGAGATATTTGTGGTGGAGAGGGAGGTGTTTGAAGAAAGAAATTATAAATTTTCTCTTTCTAGAGAGAATTTTCTCTCTAGGTCTAGAGAGAAAAAGTTGAGAAAGATGAGGCTTTCTGGTCTGGATGGTGTAGAGGGTTGAGGAGGCTTTTTTGTGAAGAGAGGATGGCATTTTGAGGGGTATGGAGAGAGAAATTAAAAAGGTAGGGTTAGGGCTAGGGTTAGGTTTAGGTTTAGAGAAGAAAATGATAAGGAAGAAGAAGAAAAAGGAGAAAGAAGAAGGTGAAGAAGGAGAAGAAGACGAGGAAGAGAAAAAGTAAAAAGAGGAGGAAGAAGAAAGAATAGAAGAGGAAGAAGAAAGAATAGAAGAGGACGAAGAAAGAATGGAGGAAGTTACCTAAGTGATGGCGGTGGTGGCAGGAATATAAATTTTTCAAATAATAGGTCTTACGACTCCTATTAAAAGTTGACTAATTATTTGGGTTTTATAAGTCTTACTGCTTTCATTTGGAAGTAGCCTAATGGTGGGTCTTATAATTTAGCCATATATGTTAAATTGCCTGAGGTTTCATATTTATTATGAGAGGAGTTTTTCTCAAGTAATATGTCTTACAACTTCTATTTAGAAGATGCCTGAAAGCGGGTCTTATTATTTCACTTAGAAGTGACCCAATAGCGGTTCGTACAACTTGGTCATATAGATTATGATGCCCAATAATTTAATTGTTGGGTATTCTAATATATGTACATCCTAAAAATTCAAATAAATTAAAACTCACATCTAACTAGCTCAGTCTACTTGTGATCCCTGAGTTGAAGCAACCTGTGGATGCTAATCATATTCCCTAGATACTACAATCAATAATTGTTAGTGTTGGTAAACTGAAAACCTACGGTATACTCGGGACGACAAAACTATAGGATCTTGATCGGGTTTACCTCCATTTTTCCGACAAATGAGACTAAAATACTTAAAAATTAGTCATCCTTAATCAAGATATCTCTCTTATATATTAAGAGGGGTAATTAACTATGAGTGCTTACACTCATGGGAAGTAAGAATCCTGAATCTAATTAAACCCTGACACTACCTTTAGGGAAAATCTGATTAACTATAATTTGACCCAAGGATAATGGAATCCTATGTCTGCAAAGCGAGATTCATGCATTGGTGTCGTTTATCTTGAGCCAACAGACTTCATGTGAGAGGGAACAAGAGACGAGAGGGGTCGAGCATGAGTTTGTTTTAGTCGGGAGGGGGGCCAGTTGGGTTATGGGAATATGATGGATTGAGTATTTATGTATTGTTTGCTATTTGTAATTAATTTCAAATATATAGTTTATGTAAGTTTTTTTCTTTTAAAATTGATCGTGCCACGACTTTTTCGCCACGTCATTGTTGCCATTCATGCACACTCAACTCAATAACGAGCTCGTGAGTCAAGCTTAATAATAAGCCACGAGCTTGTTAAATTTGATAAGGCTCGGCTCATGAGCCCGCAAGCCAGGTCATCATAAAAAATATTATTTTTTAAAATAGATTTAAGTCTTTTTTATCTTAATAAAAGCAACAGTACAACATGAAAAAAAGAAAAGAATAAAAACTAAAAAAAAATTGGCCCGCTGTCTTTGTTGTCCAATGCTGTTAATAGCAGCTAACTTTTTTTTGAAAGGTAAAAAGAAGAATTAATTGTCCTGTGCTTTTACCAAGATTAAAAAGCAAATTCTAATCTCTCTTTTCAGTTGCAACTGTCTTCTTTGGCAGATGCTAGTCCCGCGACCTTCTTCTCCGGTGCAAGGGATGCCGTCTCCTGCAATGAAGCTGTGCACAACCTCCCAAGCTGCTCGCGAGACTTCCATTTTCACAATGAGCCGAGTTTGAGCTTGTTGTTTGAGCTCGACTCGAGTTCGAGCTCATGATTTGGCCGATGAGTTGAGCTCGAGTTAGCAATGACTCAAACTCGACTTAACTCGTTTAAAGTCTTAACATCAATCCAACATTGACTCGCACAATAACATCAATACATTGACTTGCACGAGCAAGCAAAATTATTATTTTTGTCGGTTGACAACCCTGGCAAATATGGGTGTCGATCATAGCTGCTTCATCTATCCCGAATACCCTAGAATGGTTTCTTTTTCAAACGGAGGTCATTTCAATTATTTAGGTTTTTGGTCAACATGCGTCAGGCTAATTTCCTGTGGCCTCACGCTTTTTTAGCTTTCGAAAATCATCGTGCGCAGTCGACACAATTCCAATACTAGTATTGAGCTCAACAGGTCATCTCATCGAGACATTGATTTTAATTATAAATTTATTAAAAGTTGATTTTGGATTACTCAAAGCAGAATCTAGAAGTTCAAATTTGAGCATTCGGATATTTTGAGATCTAGAAATTATGTTAATATTCATGCTTGTTCAAATAAATCTAGTTCTCATGATTTTTGGTGTAGCATTGTCCATTTTATTTGGGCAAAACGGAGTTAATCTTGTGCTTAAAAAGATATACTTCAACTAAAAGAGATTGATTCTGTAATTTTTTTTCTTTCTTTAAATAGTATGAATAGATATAGAACTAAGGCTTCGTTTGGGACAGCTGTCTTCCTGCTTCTTAAAGTGGCTTTCTAGTATAAAAATTTTAAATTTTGACGCTAAAAAGCTGCTTTAAGAAGCAGGAAGAAAGTCGTCCCAAACAAAGCTTAAGTTGATTCCTCAAGTGGATTTTTGGAGGAGACTGACATCCATTTATCCTATATTCCTAGGTGTTGAGTGCCAAGGAGTCGAAACATTGATACTTTGTGCTTCGTGCCTTACAAATAAGGAAAGACTTCGTAAAATGTATCAGGCCGAGGTAAGGGCGTGTTGTCATTAAGGTTATTTACATACAAATTTTAGTCAACTTCCCCTCACTATAAAAAATGTGAGATTTTCGCAGCATTTGATAGCAGTGGTTTTGAAACAGTTGTTGTAGATGTTTTTTACTAACGGTTTTAACCGCTACTAATTTAGGCATCCAATCTCATTTAACATGGTTTTTATAAGCATTTAGTTTTAACATTCTGAGACAATAGTAAGCCTATCTTGAACCAAATTGTTCTTCTATTGAAGGGACGGGTCCAAAGGTTTTTCCTTTAGATTGTTAAAATGTGTCGATCAACAAATTTTTTCAAGAAAATGCCAACAGCTAAAGTTAGCTGCATTCTTCAAGGAGAGTTCTTAAGGGTCACTTTGACAACTTCGATATTTTTATATAAAACAATAATATGATCCCCCATAATCAATAGAGATTATTATGTGCGAAGATTAGACATAAAGAATCGTCTAGTTTTATCTTTGCAGTAAAAGTGCATAGAACTGATCCGGTCTCCGCTCGTAATAATTTTTCATTGTATCTGCATCTTCTGTAAAAAATATTTCAACTGTTACAAATAGTCCAAAATTTAAAAAAAAAATTGTGATTTATGGTAAGGAAAAGTGCCCATATTAACAAAAGATATGAGAATGATTAATTTTCTCATAAAATCTGTATTTTGAATCATTTGAGTCATGAATCCTTTCACATCTCTTCTCATTCATTGCATAAAACAAACTTCATTGACTCAGCGAAATTCGTCTGATCCACTGAAAAAGTTCATTGTCTTACTCTAAATTTGTAAATAGATCGATTGGTTAAATTTGGGTGGCATGCCTATTTCTATAACGTTGGTCTGGATGAAATGGGAGCAACATTGGCCTGCCAACCGAACGTAATAACAATTTCGGTGTTATGAAGATGCCCAACCAAGTGCTGGCCAGCGTTGACCCATGATATGATCAAAATGTTGTTGGGCCTCATAAATTTGTCATTTTTTGGCAAATGGTTACCGTAAAATAGAACAATGTAACCAAGCTAAAAATATTGGGTGAATATCTCCATATTCAATTCTTTATTATGTATTGACGAATTTTATGCTATGGTAAGTGCTGGCCAGCGTTGACCCATGATATGATCAAAATGTTGTTGGGCCTCATAAATTTGTCATTTTTTGGCAAATGGTTACCGTAAAATAGAACAATGTAACCAAGCTAAAAATATTGGGTGAATATCTCCATATTCAATTCTTTATTATGTATTGACGAATTTTATGCTATGGTTGTCATAATGTTATAGGCTTCGTTCGGTTGCCCAGTACTTTTTGTAAAAGATAGTTTTTTTTTTTTTTTTTGTTAACTGACG